AGCTTTTTTCTACATTCCGATTTGATCTTTTTAAAGGTGCATTGTATAGTATATTCATATTAACGATTAGAATATTTCGCAATATCAGTAATGATTCTACGAATTTTTCTACAATTGATGGATCTGAAAGTTGAACTGGGATTTCTGATTCATGGAGATGATAATATCGATGGACCTCGCTCATATCTCTTATAAGAACACTTAAATATAATTTCTTTCTGGCTATCTGTATCCCAATAATCCCAAATTCGCTCTTATCAGGTTTGCAACTTTTACGTGTCCAGTACATCCCATCATTGACCTCACGCCATAGCTTCACTTGATTATCTCTCTCCTTTTACGCTGAACATGATAAGTGTGAGCATTCGGTAAATAAAAATTCGTAATTTTTCTCATTGTGTTTTATTATGATCATAACATCTGGCCGTCTCCCAGATCGCCCATCGCCTTTCCTATCAGCACTGGCACTACTTTGACATTCAGAGCTACTAATGAATGTAGATTTTCCTAGAGGAAGATTCTTCAATGTTGCCTGAATCGCTTGTACTATCACATTGATCATATAAGTACCTTCATTCAGGGATTTCACAAAATTCGCTCCAAATGCAGGATTATTTCAAGAATCACTTCTAGTATCAATGGTAAGACATAAGCAGTGAGCAGAGAGTGAAAAATCACAAAATATTATTAAAAAATACTTACAATGTATTCAAAATTCTCTCTGCGATTATTACAAGCTCATTTTCTGTTTCTTTTCATGTCCCATCATGTATAAGTTTTCTTAGAAGATCAATTTTACGATTCTCAATGAAAGTAGTAACGAATTCATTACATTTTCTTTTCACTGCGAGCAGAAAAGATAAAGGTACCATTTGTCGTACTGGCTTCATAAAAGTATGCTTAAATTGGTTCGGTAACTTCTTTACAATTTCTGACTCGTCAGAAATTACTTGACTGGCTAGAGGGTCCATCCATGATAATTCAGAAATATTCATATTATCTATACTGAAGTATAGATGCTGGTTAATCGGCGTCGTTGTATTTTTCTTGAGTTTAGCCTTCAGCTCATTTATATTTTTTTAATCTCGTCAAAGTTAAGAGGTCTTTCCTTATTCATTTTAACTGCTCCTATATCACGCAAACTACAAACTTCTTCAAAAGCTATCTCAAACTAATATAATCAGATGATACGTTAGTTTCAGCAATATACCAATTTCATCATTAAAAAACGCATGCGCTATCAGTACATATGCAAAGTTATCATCTTAGTATGGCCATCACGCCGATGAAACCTTGTGTGATACTAAAATAACTACATAATATAAATTAACCATCCCTCATGCATCGAGAAAATTTCTTGAAGCAGAGCTAATGGAATGATTAAAACATAAGTGATAGTTTAAATGTCCTCCATACAGTTCAAGGAATAGTTCTTTTTGTTGCAGGCTAATAGGATGAATATACTATCATTTCAGACCTCGTTCCTACGAGTGGATCACATAATATCATCATCTAGTGAAAAAGAAATATTAATAAAGCTTTATAACTAACCTGAGGAAGTATTTGGAGAAGTTTTAATTAGCGCGAAGGTTTTTCGGCATATAAATTACTAGCAAACCCTATGGCTTGGTCTACAACCCTTCTTAAATCATTTTGCAAAATCCAGGGATCTTCTTCTATTTCTTGATAAATGTCCAAGGTGGCTGTAATATGTTCTTGATTAGCGGTTACTAAAAATTATAAATTTTGAATATAGTTCAGAAGACATGTTAATGTAGTTAATATTAATAGAGAATAAAAGAAACAAATATCATAGGTACATTTTAAATGATTCCATTTAACATCTCTCTAACTCGCATTCATGTTGGGGGAAAGAGATAGGAGAAATATGCGAGGCACTTTACGCCAAAATTTTGTGTTAGAGAATAAGGGCATGTGGAATCTGTATTGTAGATCTCATCATTACATCATATACATTTTAATGAGGATCGAAAACGTGCTAATTTATGTCGCATATGCCTACATGCATTGTGGTGAAATAAAAAATATATAGTTTTTTTATTGATAATATTCGGAATCGTGATCAAGCACTGATCTGAAAAATTCATTAATAAATCTACATTGGTCACATTATACTGTTATGCATATACATTCATTCCAATATAATTATCCAGCCTAAAATGCGAATATACTAACCGGATAATTTCGCCACGTGATTTATTCAGATAAGCAATTACCTGTCAATGATAATATTCAGAATTTTCAATCATTTTTACTGATACTTTGTAGAATCTTACAAATAATTGAATTTTCTTATCTTGTACCCAATCACCACCTAAAAACTTTTCCTCATCAGTAGTACCATCATTTCTCAGCGCATTTCAAATTTGAGATGCGAATGACGCAGGTTTCTTCTTATAACTCCTCTAAGCCTGTTAGATAACTCTTACATTATTAATTAAGCGATTTACAATCCTTTTCTTAATTTCATTTGAATGTTCATAAGTATAATTATTCAAGCCTTTTTTGAATATAAAACAATATGTTAGATAAATCTCATCAACTTTAACAGAACTGAGCGATGATACACTCTTTCAGATTAGCGCTCCTCCCTTTTTCACATTCTTTCGTGTATGAATAGAATATGCAAGATTCTTTTTGGCCGTTCTAGCAATACATTTATTAAGGTGATCGCTCGCACATTCGATGGTATTTTCACAGATAAACACTAAGGAGTCACATACAGTGCAATAAATATTAAATGAGCGTCTCCCAGCTTTAAATTCCCCATCTATATATGATCTTTCAATCATCTGGATAAACCCATTCTTCGAGAAGTATTTTGGGTTATATTCGAGAAGTTTCTTGAATGGATAACGAACACGAGAACACCACATTTCTGGTGTTTCACCACTATATCTATATTGCAGATTGTTTAACGCCTGCACTACTACAGGATTTAAACCAGAATAGTTAGTTTTAACCATTTTTATAGTTTATAACTGATCTTAGTGATTTATAGCGTTTTAACGAATTATAGCAATTTCAGTGTGTTATATCGATTCTTTATCAACCTATACTAGATAATATCATGATTCAAATTTATACGGGTTTATTGATTAGCGATTAGTTGATTTGTAGCCGATTTGAGAGACTACATGCTAGTAAATCCAAAATCATTTTATTCGATTACAAGCATATCAGGATTTATATAGGGTCATATGCTAATTTTATATATGCACAGCGATCGGTTTGTGGCATGACGTATATCATATCACATGTATCACCCTAGTTCCCTGCCAGTTCCACGACAGTTCTAGGAGAGTTCCAGGAGCTGGCGAGTTTCTATAAATCACGAGATGATCGGCCAATCAGATTTCGGATTTTTTCTTTAGCCGGAATTCGGGAAAATGATTACAACTATTTTTTCTTATGGGAGTCTAGACACCGTGGCAGAAGAAACGGCGCAGTATATTTATATCAAGCCTTTTAAGATTTCGGCAATTACATAATCTTTTCATCCTTAGTTAGATCTGTCCACTCACTTCATTCATGTCCAGAAAGCAGTAAATAATATATTATTTTATCTTACTCTGAGAAGGCACGTCAGGAAAAAAACCCGATGAAAAAATCACGTGCGCGTTCCGTTTCGGAACGCCGATCACTTTATCAAGAAACAATTTCAAACAAAAATAGCGCAATAAATGATAAAGGATCTGAAATATGTCTGATATGCAATAAAATAAACGCCTTCATGTATGAAAAAGTGGCATTTATTAATGCGATTTATTTTTCCAATGCACACACACACCAGTGACACCACCCGATACAAGCATATACTGTACTTATTATACTGTACGTTAAAAAATACAAGCAGATTAACTATTAATAGTGTGCGAATTACAATTACAAACAAATGCTAATTGCTAAATACTATCGATACGATTTCATGTTACTCTGTCGCAGTAAATACAATCTGTCACATCTTCCATTTTGAAAAAAAAGATATTAAGTGCTTTAAACATCTTTCTTAGCCTTCTTTGTAGCCTTCTTTGGTGTAATTTCAACTTCGGACTTATCCACATTCTTATTTTCAACGGGTTTGTTCACTGACTTTACAGTTTTTAAAACGTCACTCTGTAATAATAAAACAAAGCCCTATCAGTATCCTACTAGGACCTCTATGAATACTAATTACCAATTTGTTACCTGAAAATCCATTAGCATTTTCATGTCTATAGCAAATTGTTCCATGTCATCAAAGGAGTTCTGGATTTTAATGCACGCAAATTCATCATAAAGGTATATTGAGGGAAGGGGTCGAGCTATATATCGTATATGAATCTGTCCATCTTAAAGGAAAAAAAAATTTGCAAAACTGAAAGAAATACGTAAAACAAGAAACTTTTTACCATATGATACTTACTCACACATTGAATCGTATACACACGCGCCTTCTTACAAGGAACTGAATCCAGTAGTTTGTTTAGGATTCGAGTTGCATTACGGGCAAGCTTGACATCATCTTCAGTTTCCTTACTATCAGGGGCCTTTTTACCATAAGAGAATTCAACAATACATATCGTTTGATGCTCCTTTTTTCTCATTTTGAGTACTTTCAAAGCACCATCTATTTTTCGGTTCTTGGTATCTTTTGTAAGTATTTCAAGCCTGAATCGAATAAAAAGAAATTAATAAGTAATATAACTCTACTAGAAATTAAAATTGAAACTTACCATGTCCGTTCAAGAACATCCTGATGCATCCGAAAGAGACGGTTCACAATATATATCGTTGTGTCAACTGCATATGTTCTTTCCAAATCCGATTCATTTGACTCAGAATTATTGGGAGCTTCTAGACGTACAGAACTATTTACCACTGATATTAGTAACCTTCTGAAATATGTGGACTCACATAAACAAGAGTATATATTTTCACTACATACAAATGTGTCATTATCTGTTGTGCGATGTCATGTCCTTCATAAAGGAAGGGATCAAAGTGTCCAGCAACAAAAGACTTTCGTACAAGAGTGGGAATGTGGACACGGTTGCACCTATCTTCTGTAAATTGACTACAGTAATCCTTAAACTCAGGAGTCGGGTCCCAAGTTTTTTTTTCTAGAACCTGGTTAAGCCATGATTGTTGTCCTTCATTCAACTTTGATCGTATGCTTTCCTTCACTATAGGATCAGTTATATCGATTATTCCATTTAAAAGATTCGAATCCATTATTGTTTTGCCTGATTCAAGATCCCTGGATCGGAATTGATGTAGAACTTCAAGAAAGGTATTCCGAATTAATGCATCATTCGCGTCCAAATGCTTCACTTCCTGGAAGATTGGAAAGTAATTAGAATATATTTTATGTGCAGACAAATTAAAGGCTAAATTACCTCAGATAGTTCGCAATTTGAAGTATAGTAGTGGTCTTCATCAAACAAATTCGGGGATACTTCGCCATACGATTCATCATCATTACATTGTTGTGACTCGCCTTCAACGTTATCGTGAGCCAGAGGAGTATTCTCATTATTCTCAGGTGAAGAGATTGTGATTTAGACTTGGTCTAAAAAAGAGTCATGCCAAATTATTAAATTATTTGTTAATATGTTATTAGTGACTTGACTATTCAACTCCTAGGATATTTATTTCAATAATTATCATACCTTCTCTTTGTCCAAATTATTCTCTGATTCTAAAAGCGGATTGTTTTCAGCAACCACAATTGGTTCGCTTAAGCCAAATGAATGATAATGTGTTAATAACAGGCATCAAAACGAATGACGAACGTGATGAAACTTACGTGCATTGTCTCTTCTGTGACGAGTTTTGCTGATATCTTTTCTTATGATCATCAGAATCAGATTCGTGTCCTTTATTTTCTGGGAAAGCTGAACCCTAAATGAAGAGGAACAAAAATATCAATTTACCATGAATGCGAAAATAAATGTAGCCAAATACTTACGCAATTTCGTTTCCGTGACTCTAATTGCTGGCTGGAATATAATTTCTTTTCCTCTCTCACATGAGTATTTAATGAAGTTTCGTACTTGTACTGTATAAATCAAATCAAATAATTAATAGAAGGAAAGGATCAGAGTTAATGTTAAAATTTGAATTCACCTCTTCAATTTCTTCGTTTTGTGCCAATGCACCAAGCTCAATCGCTCTCTTTCCATCTTTTTGTCAATCTCAAAAGGGTAATAAAAGTAATAAATAAACGAAAATAAAATTAGGTATAAAGCATCAAAAAATATTACGCCTTAACAATTGATATTGCGACGAGGAAACCCAGGTTGGCGCGTGGGCACCCTGTTTAGTATCGATGCTTTGTTTAATAGGAACACAACAGATGACAACATGCCAAGGAAACCCAGGGTGGCGCGTGGGCACCCTGTTTGGTATTGACCTGACTCAAAGCCAAGTTATGTTGTCAACAAATTATACCATTCTGCACGCGAAATTTACTAACCTTAAATGATTTCTTTAATAAATTTGCTTTCGAGTACTCCCTTGTTAAAGGGTTGTATTTTTGTTCGATCGCTTCTAAACACTTCTTGTACTGGTAGTTATAGATTTTAACAGGGTCAGATGGAATCAAACTTTTTTTAAGAGCGTAGCGAATAAAGTTTGAATAGGACCAATTATCAACAGGGTATTCGTTGAAATAACCTGAAAAAGGTCGACATATTATGAGAAAAAATTTATCATCAGTTACACTCATTTATATCGAAAAAATAATGACAGATATTTCATGTGATTATCATGTGATTTGCAAATATATAAAACTGAGGAGTATACAAATGCGAAAACTTTATTAATTGCTAATCAGAAAATGAGAGTTAGCAAATGAAATATACGATGCTATCAAAGAGGGAGGGAGTACGCGGATCCTAGGCCATTTAATGCGAGTCCCAGCATCAATTATTTCTTTTGCTCTCTCAGATTTCAGATAAATTTCTATAGCTATTTTTTTTCTATTACTATTGCTAACTACGAGATTCTCACCCCACGCTCTTTTACTATTCTATATTTCCGAAATAAATTATCCCACCCATATCTACGCCTATCTATATCACTATCACCTGCACAGACTATGTAAAATAATATTTCCCGCGAAAGAAGTTTTCCGAAAGTAAGTAATTTCGATTCTATAGGAAGAATTCGAAGATTAGCAATGAGATATAAAAAATAATCAATGCAGATGTATTTCAGATTCATACTCACCACTACAATTCATTTTCATAACATTCCATTCCGCCTGAAATTTGTTGCTTAATACATTACAATAAAGGTAATTCGATTTTTTTATCGCCAGTATGATACTGCGCCAAGTATCAAGAATTCAGCACGTGAAGATGCTTAATTTTACTGCGTCAATGATGCACATGGAATTGATTAGATAAGATAATATCCCATCACGGGGATTTATTTTTGTGATACTGCGCCAGTTGTACGCGTGATAGTGGTCAGTGATTTTCTCGGCAAAGATCAAAATGCCGATATATAACAAGAAAAGCAATATGTCTGGTTTATTTTGTTTATTTTGGAACATCTATAGCGGAAAATTGATTAAGATCGTGATGACATGTTTCAAGAAGCTAGCCGAGCTATAAAACCAACATACCTTATAACTTTACGGAATATACTCGTTTGTTTGATTGGAGATAATATCAATGATGTAAATTATAGTAAGTTTGAATGTTTCGCTTATTTTTTGTTTTTTATTTGCACAAAGCGGATAAATAGATTCACTAACAGGGACATC